AGAAAGCGCGGAGATTTACGGCTGGAGCGCATTGCAACAGTTACTTATCGCGAGACGCAGCCTCGTGTCGACGGCAGCTCTCTGGCTTAAAACAGAAAAAACATTCAGATCATACGATGAATTGAAAGCGGCGCTACTAAAAGAATTTCCTGATTCCGTGAATATAAAAGAAATCCATGAAATTATGTCGAGAAGAATGAAAAAGAAAGACGAATCATGCTATGAATACATGTTAGCCATGAAAGAACTAGGTAAACGCGGGAAAATGCCAGATTACGTAGCAATTCAATACATAGTTGATGGCATCGTGGATAATGAGATAAACAAGATTATGCTGTATGGTATTAATACCTACGTAGAACTAAAGGAAAAAATTAAAGTATACGAAATTGTGAAGAAAAATAATGAGAAGTCGCAATCACGACGTAGTAACAATTATCAGAATAATTTAAAATCATACATAAATCGTGACAACTTATCATCTAAGTTCTGTTATAGCTGTGGGGAAAAAAGTCATCAATCGCATTCGTGTCCACATAAAGAAAAAGGACTCAAATGTTTCAAGTGCAACATGTTTGGCCATATCGCGACGCACTGTACAAGTGTATCACGTAGAGAAAGTGGCGGCGACAGTAATGGTGACGCAGTACATTCTCGTGGCGAATATAGACATCGTGGCAACGATAACGCCATATTGAAACCATCCCATCGCAAAGTCTACATTTCGTCGGTAGGGGGCGCCTGCAGCGAGAAAACATCGGCGCCACCGACGCAAGATGGCGGACCCGATTCAACCAATCACGATGCAGTAAAAATGGACAAAGAGAACTGTCAATGTAAACAAAATAAAAGCGTCATGATGAATGTGCAAGACGAATCTACTGTAAATAATATGAATAAAATACAAAATAGTTCCGTAAAGACAGTGTTAATTGCGAATAAATGTGTTCCGGCTCTAATAGATTCGGGGTGCGATCTTTCGTTGGTATCTAGCAAATTATTTTTCGAGTTAGGTGTTACACAGTTTGAAAAAGAAAGCATTTCCTTCATTGGTTTGGGAAAGACGCAGGTAAATTCATTAGGTAATTTTACAATTAAAATAGAAATCGATGGTTTTTGTTTTCAAATTGTTTTACATATTGTGCCCGATCATACTATACCTTATAGTCTAATATTAGGTCAAGATTTTTTATCCCTTACCACAGTAATGATAGCAAAGGGTTCAGTCAGCATATTGCCACAGTGTAAAGATTGTTTCAGCAGTATTTGTGTACAGGATCAGCCTTTCTCTCACATAACTAATTCTCAGGTACGGGAACAGGTACGGGACTTAGTCAATAAGTATACTGCAAATCAAACAAAGCAGGCACCAATCAAGATGAAGATTGTATTGAAAGATGATCAACCAGTAGCCCAGCGACCGAGGAGACTTAGTATTTTTGAACAGAAAGAAGTAGAGAAGCAAATTGGTGAGTGGCTTGATAAAATATTATAAGACCTAGTTTTTCTGAGTATGCAAGTCCGTTAGTGCTGGTTAAAAAGAAAGATGATACTACACGCATATGTGTCGACTACCGCTTGCTGAATAAAAAAATAGTTAAAGATGAATTTCCCCTACCAATTATAGAAGATCATATTGACAAGTTAGTAAATGCTAAATATTTCTCTCTGTTAGATTTAAAAAAATGCTTTTTTTTCATTCGAGTATTGATGAAGACTCTGTTAAGTATACTTCTTTTGTCACTCATCAAGGACAATATGAATTTTTAAAAAGCTCCCTTTGGTCTTTCAATTAGTCCAAAATATTTCACCTGTTTTATTACTATAATTCTTCGAGAACTAGTAGCCAAAGGATGGTTATTAATTTTCATTGACGATTTGATTATTTTATCTGACAGTTGTCTTCAAGGAATTGAAAGATTACAATCAGTACTAAAGATAGCATCCAGACTACGGCTTAGAAATAAATTGGAAAAAAATGTGATCTGTTAACTACAAAGGTGGAGTATTTGGGACATGTTGTTGAGGATGGCAAGATACAGCCGTCCCCAGATAAGACTGATGCAGTATTAAGGTTCCTGAACCTAAAACATATAAACAATTACATTCTTTTATCGGCTTAACTTCCTATTTCAGAAAATATGTAAAGGACTATGCAGCAATAGCAAGAACCTGTTGACTGAGCTATTGAAAAAAAATGAATCATTCACATTTAACAACATAGAAAAGGAAGCATTTAATACTTTGAAACAAGATTGTCGAGCAAACCAGTATTGAGAATATTTAACATTGATTGGAAACCGAACTTCATACAGATTGCATCTATCCTTGCATATTCAGCAATTCTAATGCAAAAGGATCCAAATGATGGTGGATTTCATCCAGTAATTACATGAGCAGGAAGACTTCAGATGCGAAAAAAGGTACACAAGCTATGAGCTGAAGCACTTGCTATATATAGAAGGAGTAAAGATTTTTCGTAAATACCTGCTTGAATTTCGTTTAAAATAATAACAGATTGTTCAGCATTTGAAATGACACTGAAGAAAAAAGATTTTAAAGTACCAGAGTTTGCGAGATGGGTCTTACTACTACAAGAGTTTGACTACACCATAGAACATCGTCCAGGAACAAAAATGAAGCATGTAGACGCTTTGAGCCGAAACCCTTGTGTTAGTGTCATAACACGAGACCTCCATCAACAGATAAAGAGAGCTCAGGAGATGGATGATGGACTCAAGGCAGTAAAGGAGATATTGAAAGAGAGATCCTATTCAGACTTCTTTATCGAAAATGATTTACTGTATAAAGGCTCACAAAGACAGTTAGTAATACCTAGAAGTATGGAGACTGAAATAATTAAAAAAATACATAACATTGGACATTTTGGGAAAAGGAAGATGACAGACCTAATAAACAAAGATTATTATATTAAATACTTATCAAGAAAGCTAGAAGATTTTATTGTAACATGCATTCCATGCTTGTTAGCAACAAAGAAAGAAGGTAAGCAAGAGGGATTTTTAAATACAATACACAAAGATAATATTCCATTACAAACAGTGCATTGCGATCATATTGGGCCTTTATCAGAAACAAGAAAGCAATACAACTACATACTAACAGTGGTGGATGCATTCACTAAATTTGTATGGATATTTCCTACAAAAGGAACAACTTCAAAGGAAACTATTGACAAGCTAAGAATATTTCAGCAATGTTTAGGAATCCCTCAAGAATCATCACAGATAGAGGTACAGCATTCACTGCACATGAGTTCACAGACTTTTGTCATGAAGAAAATATACAGCATGTCACTATAACAACAGGCATTCCACGAGGCAATGGGCAAGTAGAAAGGATTCATCCGCATAAATTATCGCTGTGCTAACCAAACTGCATTGAAGAACCAACATCATGGTACAAACATGTAAGTAGATTACAACGAGCTATAAATAGTACATACCAAAGAAGCATTGAGACATCACCATTTGAATTATTGATTGGCACAAGAATGAACCAGAAAGAAGATATAGAAATTCACAGATTATTGCAGGAAGAAAATTTAGAAGAATTTACTCAAATAGAGAAGAATTAAGAAGCCAAAGCTAAAGCACAAATACTTAGAGTACAGGAAGAAAATATAAAACATTACAATAAGAAGAGGAAGGACAGCACTAAGTACTCAGTTGTGAGTTGGTGGCCATAAAGAAGACCCAGTTTAGTACTTGCTCCAAGTTGAAACCAAAGTACCTAGGCCCATATAAAGTGGTAAGTGTTCATTGCAATGATCGTTATGATGTGGTAAAGGTTGATAGTTCTGTGGAAGGGCCGTGGAAGACTTCCACTGCTGCAGATCATATGAAAAGGTGGCCAGGGTAAATTGCTTGACTGAAAATTTTGTGACCATTATTTGTGTTGAAAATCGGTGTATTTTGTATCTCATCCATTTTCTTAAGTTATTACAACAAATGTATTTTGTTTAGGGTATTGAACTATTATAAGTGTCATTAAAATACAACTTACTTATCATTTTTAAAAAAGGGGATGTCTTCCTAAACTTACTTTGTAATTATGTTATGCCAGGAAATGTAACAGTTTACCAATAACTACTTATTAGTTTACTTTTTATGTAATTTGTATAAAATCATTGTTCTTGATTAATTTCATAAATATAAAAGCAGTTTGAATGAATTAACAATTGTTTCTTATGTAATATAAAGTAGAAAGGGATTTGTATGTATACTATCATTTTAATAGAAGACAAGATTTAAAAATAAATATTTGTTTCTAATAAGAACTAGACTAAGTAATACCTAACATAATCGTATTTTTGTGAGATTTGGATTGTAGTATAACTGTGTGAATGACTGATGAAATGAATGTAAGGATTTATTAACCATGGAAAATTGTTGTCTGTGAGATGAGTATGAGTGGATGTGGTCATCCACATGTGTAGGATGGCCGAATGTGGGAAATGGAACGTAAGACGATGGATGAAAGAGAGGCAAGGTTAGTGAAAATGAAAGAGAAGATATGAAAAAAAACAATATGGCGATTTTATAAAAGGAAGGTGAGCAAGTAGTCAGGGGATCAGTGTAAAATAAATAGTTAAATCGTGAAAAATAAAGATTATCCTAGAAAACAATTAATTTATTTTGCCCACCTCTCCGCCGACGTCCACATAAAGTTTTTGTACTGTGTTTCTATTATGAGCTCGAGGAAGTTGGCATCTTAGGAAGAAATCAGCGTCGGGTCCGATAAGGACCTGATAAATTGCTCAATCGGCTACATTTTTTTTTTTGCAACCGTGAGACATAAATAAATCAACCCAGCTACTCTATGTATAGTTTTTTTTTTTAATTCATCGTATCATTTTATAACCTTTTGTCAATTTTATGTATGTTTGTTTGTCTCATGTCTGTAACTAAACCTCTCTCTCTCTCTCTCTATATCTGCCACTCTCTCTATCTGTCTGTCTCTCTCTCTCTCTGTATTTTATAACCATTTGTCAATTTTATGCTTGTAATTAGTCTGTCACTAAATCTCGCTCTCCCCCCCCTCCCCCTACTGTGAAATGTTATGTTTCTCTTTACCTCGCCGCCAGTTGCTTGTAATGCGCGTACACTTGTTCAGACAGTTTGTACACGAACTGATCGAAGCACAGATTCACTTCAGCTTCGACTTCGTCGTACAGGAACTGTTTCTTGAACACAGTCAACGCGTACTGAGCGGAATCGTTGTACAAATCCAGAGGGTACAGCACGTATCTGTATAAAAAAAAAACAAGCTTTAATTTGATGTCTTTTTCTTTAAATTTACTGAGAAACAGACAGTAACTCGGTGGCGTAGTGGATAAGCCCCGCGGCACGCGATCGTTGTTGCTAAGCAACTTTCGCAAGGGTCGGTCACGGGATGGGTGACCGAAAAATTATTATCACGAGCTACTTCGTGCTTCGGAAGGCACGTTGGTCCCGGCTGCATTTGCAGTCGTTAATACCCGGTAATCCGCATTGGGGCAGAGTGGAGGGTCATGGCCCATCCTCCTTAATCATCCATAAGGAATACCTGAGCCGAGTCGGGACTAAATAAAGGGCTGATGATGATGACTGAGAAACAAACAGTTTTATACATTCAATGAGGACAAAATAATTGACAAAAAGTAATCCTACAGTTATCTATATACTAGCCTTTTGTCATCGGCTTCGGCTGCGTGATCTAGTTTTAAGTCCAGAAATGAGAAAATTCCATAGAAACTTTCATCCCCTAATTTACCCCCTTAGGGGTCGAATTTCGAAAAATCCCCTCTTAGCGAGCAACTACGTCTTAAAATGAACCCGCATTCAATTTTTTTAAGTCCTATTACTCATAGTCTCTGAGATTTCTTGATGAGTGAATGACCTTTCGCTTTCATAATATAGTATAGATGTAAATCTGAATAGCTAAAATGTTCCTTATAATCAGAACAAGATTTTTATATAAGAAATTTTATAAAAAGATAAAATATCTGAAAAAAATCGTGTATATGGCGGTACTTGCTGGATCAGCTAGTTTATAATACACTAGCTTTTGCCCGCGACTTCGTCCGCGTGGTAAAGTTACTTTGAGCAGCATTTCTAACGAATATTTATTCATTATATCGTGTAAAATACCTGAAATAAAGTTTCATCCCTTATTTTATCCCCTTAGGGATGGAATTTATCAAATTTTTTTCTTAGGGGATGCCTACGTCATAGTAGCTTTATGCGTGCAAAGTCTCAGCTCGGTCAGTTAAAAAATTGAAAAAGTTCCATACAAACTTTTATCCCCCTGGGGGTAGAATTGATCAAAATGCTTTCTTAGCGGATGCCTACGTCATAACATCTACCTGCATGCCAAATTTCATCCCGATCCGTCCAGTGGTTTGGGCTGTGCGTTGATAGATCACTATGTCAGTCAGTCACCTTTGAGTTATATATATTTAGATTTCAAGTGTTGAAGATAATTACAATGATGAAGTATTTTTAAAAAAAGCGAAAGCACTAAAAAAGCACCTCCACTAGATGGCGACTCTAGCAAAAGTTGATTTTCGCAGGAAACGAACGGACCAAATGAAGTCATTTCCGTTCCTTTAAACTAACATATTCAAAAACTGAAATTTGCGAAGTTCCAAACTTAGATATCAATACAAATACGAAAAAGCACAAATAGAATATAAGTTGTTTATTGAGTTTTGAAAACTAATTTACTTTAAAACATGATAGAAAACCGGAAAGGTTGTCATGGAGAAATCGAGAACGTACCGTAGCGACATCTAGTTTGATTTCGGGAACTAATCTTTTTTTTTTAATACTTCCTCATTATATATCCAATTTATGCTAATATCCAGCGACTTTAACTATAGAGATTTCAAAAAAAATTCTATCGCTATAAAATCTTTATTTTCTAGCCCTTCCCTGTTTTCTGGGGACTCGAAATTCTCTTTTTTCTTAAAGTAACGGGACCCATCCATCACCACTCGATATACGGGATCCACTTACTCCATCATTGCGGGCTCCTTGCTCCGCAGTATGTGGTCAGTGAGGATCCATGGCATGGACATTTCAATGGGGAACTGAATCCGCTTCTCCATGGTGATGAGGTCGTTGCACTCCTCGTTGTGCTGATGGCGGACCGTGCATTTCTGTTGAAAAAAAAATAAAAATAATAATTCATAATATCTAAATATATATAACTATATATAACTGACATAGTGATCTATCAACGCACAGCCCAAACCACTGGACGGATCGGGCTGAAATTTGGTATGCGGGTAGATGTTATGACGTAGGCATCCCCCAAGAAAGGATTTTGATCAATTCTTCCCCCAAGGGGATAAAATAGGGGATGAAAGTTCGTATGAAACTTTGTCAATTTTAAACCGATCGGACTGAGACTTTGCATGCATAAAGCTACTATGACGTAGGCATCCTCTAAGAAAGGATTTTAATAAATTCCACCCCTAGGGGGATAAAATAGAGGATGAAACTTTATTTCAGGTATTTTACAAGATATAATAAATAAATATTCGTCAGAAATGCTACACAAAGTAACTTTACCACGCGGACGAAGTCGCGGGCAAAAGCTAGTTCGTCATATTTTATCCATTTCGTATTCACAATGCTATACTGAAAATAATAGTTTATGCAACTGTCATATAAGAAGGGGTATTCAAACACGAGTCTGTTTATACGATAATAGGTTGAATCGAGTGTTTTAATACCTAATTTATATGCAGTTTCATACACTACTTTATCTTCACTCATAGGAAATATTGAAATTAAACAAAGTAGGCAGGTTACAAGGAAGTAATTTATGCGTGCGCCATTTTTTCCACAGTTCGAACTGTGCATGCGTGCGCTATTTTTTTCATATTCAGCTTAAAACCATAGACTAGTTTAATGAATAAAAAAAAATAGCGGTACTATAATGAGTTTATGGTATTATTACAACTAAAATATTACAAAATTGAAATGTACAAGTTCGAAACTTAGATATCAATACAAATACGAAAAAGTACAAATAGAATATGAGTTTTGTTTATTGAGTTTCGAAAACTAATTTACTATTTTATTAATTTAATTATTTATATGAAGCAATCAACAAAGCACCGTAGCGACATCTAGTTCGATTTCGGGAACTAATGCTTTTTTAAATTACTTCCTCATTGCCAGGGAATGCGATATATTTTAAATTACAGTAAGTTTAAAATAATATGGTATATGCAAAAACATACATTTACTTTCCTGCCCATTGTCATCTCCAAATAGAATTCTCTGTACCACAATTGGGAAAGGTCGCAGCATTTTTGCAAAGAATCTGAAAAAAAAAGAACATGTAATTATTATTTTGTACTGTTCGGGGAACTTGAATAATACTAATAGGATATTCCACTATGTTTGAAATATTTATTTATTTAATCCTTATTGTCAAACTACAGTAAATGGCGGACTTAATGCCAGAGGCATTGTCTTTGTTTTTATTTAAATAAAGCCATTATAGAAAACTATTAAAAAAATACTTACGAGGGTCAAACTGAAAGTTCTTAGAACTGGCCACTTATAAACAATATAATAAAAAAATAATTCTAAAATTTGAAAATATAACTCTTTGCCAATATTACTGAGTATATATTTCATTCATTTGTCATTTGTTTTACGATTTGGCGGCAAATTGAAAATTGTCTGTGTCATGTCATCATGAATTTAACACGAGAAAATTTTCGTGCAATGATTTTTTATGACTTTCGATGTCATTTAAGTCAACAAGAAAGTTATGATAGACTACGATTGGCCTTTCACGATGAAGCCCCATCTCGTGCGACTGTTTACAACTGGTTTAATGAGTTTAAACGTGGTCGCACTAATCTCACTGATGATTTACGTGAGGGACGGCCTTCTACGGCGACGACTGAAGATAACATCTGTGTTGTGCGGCGTATGATAGAGACTGACAAAAGAGTGACCTATCAACAGATTCGGACAAGCTTAGGCATCGGTATGAGTCAAGTGCACAAAATCCTCCACGAACATTTAGCGGTCAGGAAGCTTTGCGCCCGGTGGATACCTCATAATTTGACTGAGGCTCAAAAACTCCATCGTGTGGATTGGTGTCGTAAAATGATTGAAAGATTTAACGGAGGTGACTCAAATGCTGTGTTCGACATACTAACAGGTGACGAAAGCTGGATTTACTGTTATGATCCTAAAACCAAAAGACAATCTGCTCAGTGGGTGTTTCCTTTCGAGGAGTTGCCAACTAAAGTGAAGAGAGATCGAAGTGCGGGAAAAAAAATGGTGGCCTCGTTCTTTGGAAGGATAGGTCATTTTGCAACAATTGTGTTAGAGGATCAAAAAACAGTTTCTGCAGAATGGTACACTACCAATTGTTTGCCACTTGTCTTGGAAAAAGTTCGAGAGAAACGACCTCGCAGTAGGATCCTCCTTCACCACGACAACGCCTCGTCGCACACCGCCAAGCGAACGATCGACTATTTGGCGACATCAAACGTTGAATTACTGGGTCACCCGCCGTATAGCCCCGACCTCGCGCCTTGTGATTTTTATTTATTTCCAAAAATTAAAGAAAAACTTAAAGGAAAGCGGTTTATGAATGCTGAAGAAGCGGTGGCTGCGTATCGCGATGCCATTGAAGAGACCCCTAAGGACGAGTGGGCAAAGTGCTTTTCCCAGTGGTTCCATTGCATGCAGCGGTGTATTGACGTGAATGGACAATATTTTGAAAAGATATAATAAAACTAATAACTGGCTAATGTAATCAGTTTTTGATTTTCTAAGAACTTTCAGTTTGACCCTCGTATTAAAAAAGCTTATTATAAGGTATCTGATTATATAACAGATAAGAACGCTTGGACTTGAGATGATCCAGCAACTGGATAGGTGATTGCTTCTAAACTCATTATCTTGTTTCCATTATTATTAAATTATTATGTTGTCATTATAAAACCATAGTTTTTTCTCTCTCTCTCTGTGTTTTTTTTGTGAATGTCATTATTCCTATTAGAGCTGGTGGGTTTCTTGCTCGTTCTTCTTATCAGCCAAAAGACGTCCTGAACAAGCGGTAGGGAAAAAAATGTTGGACGATTCAAAAGCACTTTTAAGAAGTCTATTTGAATAAAGATTATTTTGACATTCGACTTTGACTTTGTATAGTTTTCGTCAGGATAAAACGTCAGGTAGATTGTTGAAAAATGTTAAACATGTATTTTTTTTATTTTTTGCGTGATATATTAATTAAGGCGATACATCAAATTGAAATGTCCCGTGACGTCACGCTTTTGTACATTTTCTACCGCACTCCTTAACTTTAATGGCTGTTATCTAATATATTTCTTGTTCAATTTATGCCATTCCAAGTTTCAGACTTCAAAAGACCAGAGGATCATTTCTGGGTAAATGCATTGCTATGTTCAATAAAGTTCCACAAAATGTAATTAGGTCAACCCATAAATAAATTTAAAATTCATGTAAAGAATATACTTATGAGTAAAGGCTATTATAAAGTTGATGATTATTTTAAGGATCGCAATGCATGGAATCAATAGCCTTCGCTTTGTTCTATAACGACTAATTATATGTACAACCTATGTCCTACAGACTTTGAAAGTTATATTTATTGTTGTGATAATACATATTATTTTGTTAATGACATGATTTATGTAAATGTCATTACTTATGATAAAAAGCTGGTAAGTTTCTTTCGCTTGTTCTTCTTGTCATCTAAAAGACGTCCAGAGTGGTAAGTGTAAGTTTTACGCTAAGAATTTGTATGGAGATTTGTAGTTCTCAGTAGTTACCGCTAGGGGCGCTGTACTGGATTCCATACTAAAATCTTAACGCGCTCACGATCGACGGTGAACGTAAACATAAAAAAAAATTACACTAAGCACTCTGAACCATATTTAGTTTTGTTATAACAACAAATTACCAATTAGAATTCGCTAAAAAATTCATATGGGCAGATGTCTAATAAAAAAAAAGCTATCAAAATCGATTTATAATCGACAAAGTTGTCCGAATACGATGGAATTGAGAAACCTCATTTTTTTGGTGTCGGTTAAAAATACCGTATTTTTACATACCTGATAGGTTCAACAAATAACCCCAGTAGAAGCTCTGCCGATGGAAGGATTCTATCTGCTGCAGAACGCCGGCATCTATATCCTTGCGTAATGTCCTTCTACCACCGGACTTGTCTGATATGAGAGCTTCCAGCTGAGTCCTCACCATATACAGCTGGGTAGAAGACGGACCTGGAATTGAAATTTATATATATATAATTATTTTTTTTCCAGCCTATATATATATTATATTATTATTTTTTCCGTCATGTATTTATTATATTACAAGTTTTATGTATCTGTTTATATAGGTATACCTTTTTATGATACTTATTTTTGTGTTTTGTCAACCATAGACTTAGAATTGTAAGCTATATTTTTTATTTCTTTTAAATTTTGATTTTTTTTTTCTTTAAGTAACGCATCCAATAGATAAATATCAGAATAACAGCGTCTCTGTGTCATTTTGCCCATCTTAAAGTGGCACAGAGCCCATCGCTGAGATTGGGTCCATGTTGACCACTCTTTTGTTACTTCATGAATGTTTGAATTTTCTTTTATTTTTTTTTCCTCTCTTACACATTATTATTGTATATGAACAGATGTGATCGACAAACTTCTTTCTTTCTTTCTAACCCATACTTAATACTACGCTATCTATACTTATGTTATAAATTAGCTTTGGCGTCAAGGTCTTGTATTATACATAAAAACCTTCCTTTTGAATCGCCCTATCTATGAAAAAAACCGCATCAAAATCCGTTGCGTAGTTTTAAATATTTAAGCATACATACGGATATAGGGACAGAGGAAGCGACTTTGTTTTATACTATGTAGTACATTTAGTAGCTAATTTATTTATATACCATATAATATATTAGATATATAAATAAAAATAATAATATTTACAATAAATTAATTTAATAATTATTTTGTTTATTTATTTAATTTAAACATAATTAATACATTCATTTATCTTTACCACCGTCATTTGTTATTTCATTAATTCTCTCTGCTTTATATATTTTTTTTAGATATAGCAAATGTATATTTTCATATATAGTTAGTGGTAAACAATTTAGAGCTATTTTTCAAAAAAAATTAAATACCTTAGAGAATAAGGTAACTGTTTAGAACTTACCAACATTCCTCCTTGGCACTTTTATAGTGAAGCTCGCCTCTGAATCTTTCTTTCCGCGTAATGCCGGATCCTGTTGCGGCTCACAGCCACGGGCCCAGTCGCCACAAGTCTCACGGACCGAGACTATTATACTGTACACAGAACAATCATATATATATATATACTTGTGGTACTTAGAGAAATATTTAGTGGGATAAAAAGTATCCTATTATCTAAGTCAACTAATACCCTATCTGTATATCAAATTTCATCAAAATCCGATCAGTAGTTTCGGCGTGATCGACCGACAAACATCTAAACAAAGAAAGTTTCACATTTATAATATTAATAGGATAATACACAAAATTAAATTGGAGAGTCTGTTTGTAATGTTAAAATAACAGCTTTTTATTAAATAACTTTTAACTTTTTTTTAATTTTTCGTCTGTCCGTTCCTTCTTGTTCTTTATAGCTTTCCTCAGTGGATCCCTCAGGGTCAACTGAACGAAGTCCTGCAGATCAGCGTATATGGACCTTCGGGCGGCGTCACAGAACACAGTCTCCATGCGGGCCATCAGCACTTGTAGGCCTTTAATCATGGCTATCACTTCAATCATCGCGAACTTTTCCTCTGAAGTATAGTTGTAGCGAGTCGCCTGTTAAATAATTATTTATTTATATATTTATTTATTTATTTACGACACATAACCAGTGGTCGGAATTAGGTAGAGTTATTCATGTACTTACACTGATTTCATACAGCGAAAGAATAAAGTGGATATGCCTCAAATCCCGAGATTAATTTTAAAGAGCAGAAAAGATCCCGTGATTTTTTAAATAAAAAGTTATTTACTTTTATGCAATTTAAACTACTGCACGCACGACGTTGCCAAACTTACATCAATGAAAGAAAGAAATAAAGAAAGAAGAAATAAAGAAATCCCGGGAAGGTCCACATTAATATCAACATTTCGATGCAAGTACATAAATAACTCTACCTAATTCCGACCTATGCACATAACAGATTACAATCAATTTCGCTACAAATAGTATTAACAAGTTACTCGATTCCGATCATAACCCAACAACATGTGTCTTTTATAACAACTAAACATGTTATTTTACAATTTAAATTTTCAATTTTCAAAAATTAAGTATTTGGAATATAATTTAATAGAATTAAGAATTGTAATACAATATCAATTATATAAAATAATGATCACAAATCAATATAAAATTAAAAATTATTACTCTAAAATTAATCAGACGAAGCGAATTAAAACATAAAACAAATTAATCATTACATTGTGGTAAAAGTTTTCTAATTCTATTAATAAACAAGTTTCTGTTACAATAGGGATGATGACTAATTTTTGTTTGTTTGTCCGTCAGGTAGAGTTTTAAAAAATATTAAACAGGTATTTTTTTTTTCGTAATCATAAAATTACGGCGTTACATTGAGTTGAAATTTCGCATGACGTCACGTTATGGTACGTTTTCTACTCAACTGTGACGTAGCGAGCCCCCACTCCTCAACTTTAATGCCTGTTATCTAAGCTATTTCTTGTTAAATTGAAATAAAAAAAAAAATACGTATCTAATATTTTTCTATTATCTGACTGACGGACTAAATAGAATTGCATTTTTTTTACCCAGTCATCATCCCTATTAAATATATCAATGTCAGCATTGTGTTTAACGCATTCATTGTATTATTGGTTTGTTTTAATTATTTATTTTTACATTTAGGGACATCGAACGGTCGTACTTTAAGCTGTACTTAATAAAAATAATGCATATAATAGTGTATCTTACTCTGTTTGAAATAATACTTATAAAATACATATGTGTCGTCTGTATAATGTCCTAGCGGGGAAACAAAGCTTGAACATTATGAAAGAATAATGTTAAATTTGTAATAATTGGTTATCTTATTAATTTGAATGTTGTAGTCACTGATTGATAATATATAATTTTAGGATTAATTTGAAAATTGTAATAATTGGTTATTCTATTAATTTGAATGTTGTAGTCACTGATAATATATAATTTAAGGATTAATTTGAAAATTTATTGTAATTAATTTAATGTAATCTAATTCTATTATTTGTTTTATGCATGCAAAATAAATATAGTATTGTGCAACCTTTATAATTGTCATGATAGACCACAAAGATTTGGTTTACAGTCTAGTTTATAAAAAAAAAAAAATCACTGTAAATTAAAAACTCAATTTGGTTGTGAACTTTATTGTGTGTTTTGTTTGGTTGTGAACTAATAAACTAAAAATCACGAATATTGTGTGACTTAATTCATTACACGTTGTGACGTGTGAAAAATAATGAATTTTGTGTGCAAAATTCATTATTTTAAACATCCCCCTTTTCTGTCACCTATTTATCTGTACAACTTGTACTAAATACTGTATATTGTATAATGTCACAGTTCGTCGACCCCCCCCCCCTCCTAACGTGTGACGTAATTTATGGCCGTCCCGTCCCCCTCATCTGTCATCTGTTGGTCTATACATATTCTACTAAACATTGTTGCAACGCCGCAATTCGTCGCCACCTCCCCCCGCTCACCCTCTCGTACTCCTCCACGTCGGACGGGCACCTCGCATTGGTGTAACACTACAAGTGGCCATATATTCTCGCAACGTCGCAGTTCATCTACACCCCCCCCCCTCCCCCCCCACTCCCCCGCTCACCCTCTCGTACTCCTCCGCGTCTGGCGGGCACCGCGCGTTGGTGGCGTGGTCGGTGGGGTGCAGCAGCTTCCACGAGCACAGCTCCGTGAGCACCGAGCACCAGGCGGACAGCAGCTGCAGCCCGCGCAGGCACAGCTCGGACACCAGGCGGTTCTCAGCGTCGGTGCCGGCCTCCTTGAACGTCGTCGTCACCTGTACACACACCGGGGGGGCTGCATTATAATAAGGAAGCACTTAAAAAAAAACCCTGGTTGGCTGTATCATTGATACAGCCATATTTTATGCGTGGATACGTCTATGTATGAATGGATATATGAGTAATTGATAAAAAAATAAATAAACAAATTGAAGACACTAAACACTAAATATTCGTTCATTCATTTGTTGAATGAAAAAAGTATTCACTAGCGCCAACAGATGGCGTTAGTGCATATACTCCTGCTGACAGAATGCCCCTCCCCCTGCAGAGCAAGCATAGTTCACTTATACGCCAATAGATGCCGTTAGTGCATATACTCCTGCTCACAGAATGACCCCCCTGTAGAACGAAAACAGACGTATCCACGTCAAAAAACAAAACAAAAATCCATTAAACATTAGTCCCTGATATGAAACTTTAACGAATTTCATTAAGATATTACATTTAAACTTTCCATTGATTTTACAAAAAAAAAAAAACATACAAGAGCATAAGTCCTCGAAATCTAACTTTCCATTGATTCATTTCATTTAAATATCAATAAACACGGGGGAAGGGGGACACATCATAATAAGGAAGTATTTAAACAAAAACAAAAGAAAAAACATTAGTCCCCGAAATCGAACTTTACATTGGTTCATAGTTTATAAGTTATATAATTATTTAAACACAGTCCCCTAAATCAAACTTCCCATTGTACACATAAGGGACTACATTATAAAAAAGAAGCACTTTAAAAAACAATAGACATTAGTCCCTGAAATTAAACTAACGAATTACATTGAGATATTAAATTTAAACATAGTCCCCGACCACATGGCACACATCATAATAAAGAACTATTTAAACATTGTCCCCCCAAATCAACATTTCCATTGATTCATTTAATTTAGATCCTTTAGTTCATAGTTTATTAGTTCTATGGGAGGGAGACCACACCATAATAAAGAAAACTTTCCATTGTACACACAAGGGATACATTTTAAAAAGGAAGCATTTAAAAAAAAAAACAATAAATATTAGTCCCTGAAATGAAACTTTAACGAATTTCATTATATTATTAAATTTAAACATAGTCCCCGAAATCGAACTTCCCATTGGTTCATATCATCTATTTACAAAAAAAAAAAAAACATAAGACCCCGAAATCGAACTATCCATTAATTAATTACATTTAAATATTAATACACAAACGTTTAAAGAAAAAAAAATATTCAAATATTTCCAACCGGCGTTTTATAAGTTCTATAATATAAATATAAGCTCGGCACATCATAATTAGTAGCACGGTGGCGTAGTGGATAAGCGCCGCGGCCCGCGATCGTAATCGTTAAGCAACTTTCGCAAGGGTCGGTCACGGGATGGGTGACCGAAAAATTATCATCACGAGCTACTCCGTGCTTCGGAAGGCACGTTAAGCCGTTGGTCCCGGCTGCATTTGCAGTCGTTAATACCCTCCAATCCGCATTGGGCCAGCGTGGAGGGTCATGGCCCATCCTCCTTAACCATCCATAAGGAAGGCCTGAGCCCCTGCAGTGGGGACGTAAAAGGGCTGGCGATGATGATGATGATGACATCATGATAAAGAAGTATTTAAACTTAAAAAAAAAAAAACAAAAACGTTAGTTCCCGAAATCAAACTAGATGTCGCCACGATACGTTCCTGATTTTTTTCATGACAACCTTTCCGGTTTTCTTTCATGTATAAAATTAATTAGTTTTCAAAACTCAATAAACAACTCATATTGTATTTGTACTTTTTCGCATTTGTATTGATATCTAACTTTCGAACTTTGCAAATTTCAGTTTTTTTTAATGTTAGTTAAAAGAAACGGAAACGACTGTCTTAGGTCCATTCGTTTCCCGCAAAAATCAACTTTTGCTAGAGTCGCCATCTAGTGAGGTGCTTTTTAGTGCTTTCTTTTTTTCTTTAATTACTATGCAAATCTATACTAATACTATAAAGACTGTCAGATTTCTCTGTTTGTTTGCAACGAACAGTCTCCGAAAGTAACGGACGAATTTCAAAAATTCTTTCACATCATACGGCTATATTTCTAACAAAAATCAGCCAGTATTTTATAAAGCCTTTAAATTTAAAATTAATTACATACAAAAACAATCTCAAATAGGCTACTACCTCGTTGCTGTATCTGGCCAATTCCGATATATAGTTCTGATGCTCCTCCCTTATCTGAGGCAGGTGGACCATCAGGTCGGCCTGCGGCGATGGCGGATTAGGACTCGAAGATAACGGCCATCAACCTGCCTGACGATAGGTTATTAGTTCGAGTATACTCACTTGCTAGGGTCATAATGTTTCGATCTCTTGATATAATTAAACGGCGCTATCTGCATATCACCAAACAGCGGGACCACCTCCAAATTCTGGAAGAAAAACAATCCATTAAATTTGATCTATATTTTTGCCCCCCCCCCCCCCCCCTCCTCCAACCAAATCACGTGTAATTAAAAACAAACAATCTTAATTTTTGCCGTCGCTTTTATATCGAACGTCGAGGAAAAAATAAATACGTGTGATATATTATTACATACACCCCCATTGTGATATTTTGTGATTTTTGACGAATCCCTCCCCTCTTCCCCCTTTCAAGCTTCACGTGATTAATTTATCCGTTTTTTTTTTAAGTGCTTCCTCATTGTAATATATACTCAAACTCAAAGGTGACTGACTGACATAGTGATCTATCAACGCACAGCCCAAACCAGTGGACGGATCGGGCTGAATTTTGGCATGCAGGTAGATGTTATGACGTAGGCATCCGCTAAGAAAGAATTTTGATCGGTGGATCCCTATCCATCGATAAAAATCCTTTCTTACCACTGAGCTACCCTTAGCGCAGTGGTAAGAGCAGTCACCCGGATAGCGAAATTGCTTCAATTCCCATCTCAGAGTGCCAGGGACCAGATGATTTTTATAAACAGTGTTTTATTAAATTAGAAAATCAAGCAACTTTCGCAAGCGCCACTCGTATGACAGGTGACCAGTTGTCGTAGATTCATTACCTTTGTTTTAGTTATTAAAAAATATATTTAATGAACATTAGTTCAAAGAAGTCCCGCGTCAATTTATGGAACTAAAATGACAGGTCGGCCATGTTGTCATTAATAGCTGTGTTATTTACAACTTATAATAAACTTAGATTTATTATCATCATCAGCCCTTTTACGTCCCCACTGCAGAGGCTCAGGCCTTATGGATGGTTAAGGAGGATGGGCCATGACCCTCCACGCTGGCCGAATACGGATTGGAGGGTATTAACGATTGCAAATGCAGCCGGGACCAACGGCTTAACTTGCCTTCCGAAGCACGGAGTAACTCGAGATAACAATTTTTCGGTCACCCATCCCGTGACCGATCTTCGCGAAAGTTGCTTAACGACAACGATCGCTGGCCGCGGCGCTTATCCACTACGCCACCGAGCTACTGGATTTATTATAATATAGTTTAAATTACAATATTAATGAAAAGAGCCCTTTAAATTATACAAACCAGACGTTATACACAATAACCGGTGTAATTATAAAGACACTAGTGAAATTATAAAATAGCATCTTTTACAAAATCCCTGCGACATATACATTACATAGGTATTGTATACAATACCTTATTATACAGATTGCAGGTAACATATATAGATAAGACTAGTTGTGCCCGTGACTTCGTCCGCGTGTCAAATAGACTAAGTTACCTCTTATTGCTAGGTAAAATCGGTCCAGCCGTTTCAGAGATTAGTAGGAACAAACAGACAGACAAAAAAATGTAAAAAAAAATATTTTTGTATATATGTACAGTATATACATAATTAGTGGAAAGCTTAATTTTATTTATATGTATAAATGAATAAATACCTTGAAAATTCTATCAATACGGTCGAGACGTATCTTTTTCTTCTGGTCGAGGCGGTTTATGTTACAAACTTCAGAATCCATCAGAAATAATCCGAACCCCATCACCTATGAAGTCAAAGAAAAAGTAAATATATTTTTAAACAAACTTTTATTTAATTTGTTACTCATACTAGTTGGGTCGTTCAGATATTATGTACGGAGGCCATTTTGTTGCGGCGGCCATTTTGTTACAGAGGCCATACAAATTGCATATATCATTTTGTGGTAATTTCGCAGTTATATATATCGTATTTATTGAAATAGTCTTATATAAATATAAAACTTGATTCTTTAGAATTAGTTTATACATATATAATTTTTGGTAATTTAATATTAGTTCATATGTATGTAAAATTTAGTATTAGTTTATATGTATACAAAATTTGGTAATTAAATATTAGTTTATATGTATGTAAAATTTAGTATTAGTTTATATGTATACAAAATTTGGTAATTTAATATTAGTCTATATGTATGTAAAATTTAGTATTAGTTTATATGTATACAAAATTTGGTAATTTAGTATTAGTTTATACGTATGTAAAATTTAGTATTAGTTTATATGTATGTAAAATTTAGTATTAGTTTATATGTACGTAAAATTTAGTATTAGTTAATATGTATACAAAATTTGGTAATTTAATATTAGTTTATATGTATGTAAAATTTAGTATTAGTTTATATGTATACAAAATTTGGTAATTTAGTATTAGTTTATACGTATGTAAAATTTAGTATTAGTTTATATGTATGTAAAATTTAGTATTAGTTTATATGTACGTAAAATTTAGTATTAGTTTATACATATAAAAAGTTTGGTAATTTAGTATAAGGTTATAACCTTACTAAATTACCAAACTTTTTATATGTATTAAAACGTAATACGGCCCTTAAAATGGAAACTTTTTAAATAGCAACATTTACCTTGACCAGCATATGTTTCTCGGACGGCGTCAGATACATCTTGGTCTCGAACATATGGACGCAAATGTTGACAACATCAGCCAACAGATCTTCGTAACCTACTCACGAATATGGTGATTAATCATTATGTACACAAATAAATATCCAACCAAAACGTCTTCAAGTAAATCGTCGCCAAGTCGAGAACATATGACTCGTACTGTCAAAAATTTATCAGATCAGTTATCAGTGTAGAGCCAAAACTCCAACACCCGTATCTATATTTAATTAGACTCGTATCTAAAGACGAGAGAATTAATTACTTGAGAATGTGTCATGACTTAAGCAACTATTTTTAACCGATAGACGAGTATTGTCTTGAACTGTCAATAAAAATCAAATCTTGGTTATTTGTTGAAAATATTTTCTTAAGTTATGCCATTTTTTAAGTAATTAGTTCTCTCGAATATATACGAATATCTCTGCACTATTGAAAACATGTATGTGGGCCGTATCAATAAAATGAAAAATATAAGAGCTAGGCAATTGAAACTTTGTATGTTAACTAACTTTGTTATTGCCATCACACCTCTATAAATTTAATGTATTTAGAGTAATCTAAACTTAAGTTATGAAGATCCAAAAACCCATCTTGGCGGGCCACTGGCGTGACCCAAGATTGAACAACATCACAAACATTGCATCGCTCAGATCACAAAGCAATTGTATTATAGAAATCTGGAACACTCAGTTCACTCAGTCAGATATAATTACAATGACAAATTGCATAGTAAACAATGGTTACCATGGTAACATTTTGATTTCCGTCCCTTTATTTGCTGTTTTTCAGGATAACGTTTTTGATTTCTCCCCAACCTTACCGGATTTCTTTCATGTATAAAAGTAAAATAGTTTTCAAAACTCAATAAACAACTAAGTTTATATCTAAGTTTCGAACTTTTCAAATTTCAGTTTTTTAATATGTTAATTAAAAGGAACGGAAATGACTGTCTTTGGTCCATTCGTTTCCTGCAAAATTCAACTTTTGCTAGAGTCGCCATCTAGTGGGGCTGCTTTTTAGTGCTTTCGTTTTTTTTAAATACTTCTTCATTGAATATGAACTCACCGTTTATCTTCTCTAAAGCATCTTTCACTGTGTCACGGATTTTATTCTGTGTAGCGAGGAACATCGACAGGTTCTGAGACTCCTGTAAACTTTGGCTGTCTGACATCACCTTCAGAAATTGCGCGGCTCTGTGGAAAAAAAATGTAGCCATAGACAAAAAAAAAAGTAAATGTGTTGCCAGCTCACATTTAATAACCATATATCTGGCAATATTAACTAATTAGCACAGTAATATCTAACAACTCCTAAGGATGTATAATAACATTTGTTGCCGTTCGTACATGTGAATATGGCTTCAAGGTGTCGCCATCTTCGAGGTCCTGGGTTCAATTATCGATCGGGTAAATGTAGAAAATTAACTTTTCTAAATTATCTCGGGTCTGGGTGTTGGAGTACCTTCAACAAACTCTATGTCAAGAGAAACAATTTGACCACAGAGTACACGTATGCGTGTAGCAAATACTTGTCTGTGTGCGTCAAATGCATAGCAGTGTGTATAATGTTTTATTTATCGATTTAATGTACTTTATAAGCATTATTATTGAACAATATTAGCCGTATGCACTTCTCCTACATATAAATTACAAAATGCCAAATTTCATACTCCTCCGTCCTCGAAATTTCCGTAAAAAGGGCAAAGTTGCTTCACGTATTAATATATAGATAAACAAACTAACCTTCTGTACGTAGAGTAGTCATTCTTGACGCTACTCTTCATGTTCTTAAGTTCGTCGAGCACGGCGAACATGTTCACGAACTTGCCCAGAGTGAGCAAGTACGCTTCCGAGACGAAGTCGCGACGTTTCTCCGCGTGACAGAGACGGCGCACTTCGCCACAGAAGCGTTCTATCGCCTTGCGCTGTTAATATTTATTATTAGGATACTCAGAAACGGATTACTAATTATGTTTCATTAATTTCGCTTTAAAAATCCACTTTGTCCCCTGTACTCTGAGATGGGATTCGAACCCACAACATCTCCCAATCCGGGCGACTGCTCTAACCACTGAACTACCCACCAGTGGCGTTACTATACCGTTTGAGGCCCGTGGCAAATTCATAGATTTTTTTTTACCAATTGCGTAATAATAAATGTCAGGAGTAAGAAGTCTCCTCTGCTTGGTGGTGCGGGGGGGGGGGGGGGGGGGGGGGGGCTTCCAGTTGGGGGCCCGTGGCCACCCTGTAGTAATTCCTCTGCTACCCGGTACCTAACAGGACTGACGAATCTTTCAAGCACTCGTTACTCGTTACTTTTCCGCTACTACAGAGCGTATTCTCATCAATGTTCAGGCAATCCACCCAAACAGCCAAAAGAAATATTTTTTACAAATATTTAAGCTTTCGATAAAAATGTCATTTTTTTTCTAATTATTATATTTGATTAATTAATTCACAATGCTTTTCTGAAAAATATTCTTAATAAAAAAACAGCCTTCCACAACCCAATGTTTTTGAAAAACCTAACCATCGATGTGTCACACTATGAGGAAGACCAAAAAAAATAACATATTTTTTCTCGAAATTTTAATTTACCAATTTCTCTTTGTAATTAACGTGTATACACACAGCAAATTATAACTCTCTAATACCAATAGTTTTTGAGCTAATCCGCGGAAGAACATGACGAAACTATAAGGGTTAATTTGCTACGGAACCCTAAAAATCAATAAAATTAACGAGACATTTAACACATTGATCAGTTAACTGTATAACTTGTCGATCAATTGTCATAAATAGCCCTTAAATCTATTGCATGTTGAATAACTAATAAAATAGCATGCTTATTAGCGCGTTATTTGCAAGCGCTAATTATTGCTCGACACACGTTCTGTGAAATGTTCATTTTTTTTTTAAATATATTTTATTTTTTAATTAATTAAAACTAGCTGCCCTGCGACAATGATCTTAATTATTATTTACATCCTTTTCTATAGTCCATGTCTTCCAACTCGAATCCTGATACGATTCTTTTTTCATTGATTACCAAAATTATCGAATACTTCAGCTCAATACCTTCACGGGTTAACCTTAAATTTTTTCTTTAAGGATTCCATTTCTTCCTTGCAAGATACAGAACTCTAGAAATGTAAAATGTTATTTTTGCATATGTACCATGTATACATATGTTTAGTAAAATCGGTTATTTTAATATGACAGACACTTTTTTAATGTATACAAACAAATTTGTTTGTAAACATTAAAAAACATACTGCCAAAATTGAACTAAAACTAAAAGAAAACTTGAATCATGGCTTAAATCATTCTTATAATTTTATTAGGATCATAGTTGTGATAATAATCTGTGCATCAGAAGTCCACAGAAGGAAGACAAGAACAAAGTCATGTTAATTTATATAAGTGTTAAATAGAGCTGTTTAAATAATGTTAGTGTACCGACCTGGAAGTACATGAACTGCAACAATTTGTCCACCTCCGGGGCCAGCACTTGAACGGTTCTCTCATATATGTGCACCCGGTCAGGTTGCTCGTTGGATCGTGGCTGGGGTATAGCTCGACTGCAGCATCGCCATGTGTACAGCATCACAGCATGAGCATTGCCTTCCTCCAACAACTCGTTCTGGTGAAACAATACTTAATATGGAGTTGGAACCGGAAACATTCGCAAACCGGTCGACTCTTATCACCAATGTTAATATTAAGAACATCTCTTAATTATTAGAGACCATTTTAGGGCCAAAGGGCTCCGAAACTTGACTAGTATTTAAAAAAATTATAAACTAGTAAAAAAATTTAAGGTTTCTTTTTAAATAAGCTTTTATTTGGTGTTTTCAATTGATACCAGGGTTCCTAAGTAACAAGATAATTTTGTTTTTAGATAATTAACCAATAAATATCTGATAATTATACATAATTACTGGCAGTATTTTTTTAAATGCACAAAGGCATTCATAATTGAATAAACTATTCCTTGATGTGTCTTAAAATATAAAAATTATACAAACAAAATAAACGTAAAAGAATTTGTTAATTAACATTGAACAAAAATATAATTAAATAAATAAAACATTTTATTATTTTCTTTTTTTTTCTTTTTGTAAGACCATCCTAGACAATTTTCTCTATCAGAAAAACCATAATTGATAGTTGTAACAAAACGAGTTTGTGTGGTGTTTTATAATTATCAAGTTATATTTATCAAGATAATTATCACTCCGAACTCTGTTTGATAATTTTATTGTTACGAGTGCCATTTTGGATTAACAATAATACCGACTTTTGTATTGTCATCAGAACTTGAGGCATATTTCAAATATCAGTTCAAAGGAAGATTGGGGAGTATGTGAAATTTATCTTGCAAGAATTTATTACAAAGTCAAAATAATCTTTATTCAAATAGACTTCTTTAAAGTATTTTTGAATCATCCAACATTTTTTTTTATACGGTTTTTACAGAAAGTCTAAAATCAGGACAGGTGAAAACTAAGTAACTCAAATCTAATAACTAATAACTAAAATCTTGTAAAATAGAAGTGGCATACCAAGTTGGCATGGACAGTCGCCTCTTCTATGTACTTGGCTATGCCGGTGACGAATCCATTGCGATCCTCGAAGTTGGTGTCGAAGTTCGCTTGGTACAGGATCGAGCATGGTGCAGCTTCTATGCAAGGCTGTTCATCTGGAAACAGGCGAATTCTAAAACTAGCTGTTTTCTGGCGACTTTACTTGTGTAAATAAGACCATCTACCATGTATAAAGTAGTTTTCCATAGGATTTTCAAGATTGATCCAATAGTTTTAGAAAATTCTTTCACCTATGGGAAGCTATGTAGTATACAGTAAACATTTTATTTTATCCTGAAAAATGTCAAATAAAGGGATGAAAAAGGATGTGGAAGTTTGTATGGGGAATTAAAATGTCGCCGTACTATCTAATTTGTTTATTGTAATTATATATCTGTGTCATGACATGAATCAATATCTAAATAAACAGTTCCTTATTGACCATACAGGCAAAGCCACTGACAGACAGCTATTATATTATAAAGAAGAAAGATGTTTGTTTATGTTGAGTAGGTTTTGAAACTACTGGAAGGATTTTGCAAATTCCTTCAATCGCATGATGTTGACCTAAGACGATGACATTTAGGTGTCGACAAAACGTTACCAGAATTTGTTATGCTACACATGCAGGTAACATCCCATGACTTTTACACTTCACCTGTGTAAATTATAGCCTACTAGCTTTCTACCAGGTTGATAAAACGTACCCTTTATTCAACTAACCTTTATTCAGGGCTTACAATTATTCATATACACAATTTCATCAATCTGTTCAGTAGAACTGCATAAAAGAGTAATAAACATGTACATTTCACATTTATATTATTAGTAGGATTTCACCTGCATATTATGTAGCTACCCTTAGGTGAAACAATTTTAAAATGAAGCTCATTTTCAGCTGCTGTAATTTTTTTTTAGCAAATATTAGGTGATTTGCCACTGTCTAAGACATTAATAGGAGGATTTTAAAAAGAAACATGAAGATTATTATTTGGCTAATAGACTTTTTGACTTGCCACAAGGGATATTGAGCAGTACAATATTTAAGCCCTTATTTATTTTAGAAAGCTGGCTCAAATGATTGGAATTTTTTGTTAGATGTGTCGGAGACCAGTCAATTTTGGGAACTACCATTATTAAATATAGGTCCTGGCTGTTTTTAAGCCTTTTGCCATCATTGGCTGCAAAAGTGGTATCTGGGAACTTATTTCAGGCTAAAAGTACATAAATAGATGGTTGATTACAATGAACACGATAACTAACCCCTTAATAATCAATTGATTACACTTAACTGACTGTGAACCCTCACAATAAACACGAAATTGGTCCGGACTCTAGTGTGTGAATCATAGATTAAATACTGTACGAAATATAAATACCACTTACCCGGTAACGTGAGCTCGTCCAAAACGTCCACATTACTCAGTGCATCTGAGAGAGATACTTTCTCACTTACAGACATAATTCTATTTCAAAAATTACTTAGTAAACAATCTTTGTGGGTACGGCTGCCGGAAATACAAAAACAGATAACGGAATTCCCGACAAAGGGATGTATGATTATCGTAGTTTGCTTTATATTTAATTAACAAATGGAATCAATCATATTTGACTAAAATAATAAGATTTTCCCATATTTATTGAATAAAACAAACTAGAAAGATGACAACAGGATAACCGATTGACAAACAGTATTCATAGAGATGTTCGATATTTTAATCGATTAAAACGCAATCTTACATTATGTAGTGAACTAAAAAAAAATATATTATTAAATAATCTATACGATATTATATTGTATATTATAGCATTTCATAGAGCTGCACAGTAGAAATCATTAATGTGTTTCTTTATTACTAAAAGTAATATCGATGTCATTTATTTAATCGAATTTGGATAATTTTACGGTAAATAGACATCACCAAAGAGAAAAACAATAGCATCACTAAAAAATATCGACACACCCTAATGCACGTTTAGAAACTATAGCGTCTTTCTGATGATTTACGTTCAGAAATTAAAATTATTTATTTTTTGAAATATTCTCATCAAGCCCTTATTTTATTCACTTGCTATAGTTCCTTCTTTAATTACAAATGAATAGTTTTCATTATTTGCCATAACTTTTAGGTACTACAAAACGTCTACACATATATATATACAGCGTGTTTGGTAATACCTGTATAATCCCGAATATGGCACATACGGTATGATGAATAGAACCCAGAAAAATGACCCCAGCCAGGTCTGAAACCCAGCACATGACCTAGATAGTCAAATAATTCCACTCGACTATAAACCTTAATTCATTTTCTTAGAATCCAAAATTAACTGAGGCAAATTTGACATATTGTAGTAGCCTAACGTGCAGCAAACATGGCAATGTACAACAGATTCTATAGGTATTGAAAAAAAGGCGGGAAACGTCGAACTTGGTGGGCGCGTTTTTCGAGTTTAAAAATTATTTTATTTTATTTTATTAAGTATTGGTGATCAGATTTGTATATTTTCATCTTAATTACTTTTAAATTTATTTAGTATTAGTTTGTAGTGTATTATAGCAGTTTATTGGTAAGGTTTTACGTTTTATTTTATGAGCCTCCGGACATAGAACCGCCAAGGGACTGTGTTCCCCCGGCTGGAGCACTGCAATAAAAAACGTCGCCGTAATCATAGCTCCGACTCAAAAAATGATTGCAATTGTTTTGATCTTTCACCAAGAAAAGAGTCTTCTTCGAACGTAACAAAAAAAAAAGACACAATCAGTTGACAAAGATTTTAATATATCTATTCCATCATCTGCTACTATAGAGCCCACAGTCACACCAACACCCATTGGCCGTGTTCTTTACAATAAATGTTATTACTTTAAGTATAATATGATGTTTCCCCATTTACTGTTCATGTGCAAAAAATACAAGCTGATCTTCATGATAATACTTCAACTTTTGGAAGGTTTTAAAAAAATAACCAATTTTAAAATATTGTCAACGGTAGTGTAAAACTTATTGGCCGCAATAAAGTCTCACTAGCTTTTTCTGATTATATGTCTGCAAATTCTTCCATCACTAACAAAAAACTAGAAATTAATGAAATGAAAGCTTTTATATCAACTTTCAATGTAACTAGAATGGGTCTTGTGCGAGGTGTCCCTTCAGAATAGACACCAGAAGAAGTTCTCGAAAATATTACTGTCCCAATTGGATGTGGCAAGATAATTAAAGTAAGACGTATCAATTATAAAGTTACCCAAGGAGGTTCAGTTATATGGAAGCCCACACAATCAGTTGTAATTACTTTTAATGGGCAAATTTTACCCAAACGAGTCTTCATGTGTTTCAATGCTTTGCCAGTAGATCTGTACATTTATCCAACAATACAATGTTACTATTGTTGTCGCTTTGGCTATACCAAAAACCAGTGTAGGTCCAAACCCCGATGCTTTAAGTGTGGTGAAAATCATTCGGGTGATTCTTGTGAAAGAGAGGGAGACGGTGATGTTTTTTGTTGCTTATGTGAAAGATCCCATTTTGCTACAAACAAATCTTGTCCAGAGTATATTCGACAAAAAGAAATCAAGGTCTATATGGCAAATAACGGCACATCCTATATAGAAGCATCAAAATCTTTTTCTAAACTTTTAAAATCATATTCCAATGTTGTCTCCAATAATTCTTTTAAAACTCCTTTATATTAAAATTCAACATCAAATGTAGACCATAAAAGTAATTCCCACAGTATTTCTTAAACCTCGTACTCCACCTAAACTAACACAGGGTTATGATATTGAAGCTCACAAGGCTCTTATAAAGGAATTTGATAGTCCTATTCCTGCAGATGGGTGTGTATTCAATAATAAACTTCAGGATGAAAATAAGACTGTTTGGCAAAACATTAAAAGATTCAAATCGGCTGTCAATAACAACTCTTCATCAATGATACCACCACAGCTAATAAACCCTTTCTTAGATAAATTAGCTCCTCCCTGGGTTTCGAACAATATCTCCATCTCTTCTTCCTTAACTGACTCTGATATTAGTGCTCCGTTTAGTTTATATGAATTAAAAGGTATCATCCAAAATACGAAAAACTCTGCCCCTGGGAGCGACGGTATCCCATATGCTTTTCTTTCCAACGTTTGCAATAACACATTACAATATTATTAGATTTAATAAACTCGTCAATGATCTCAGGTAATATCCCCTCATCTTGGAAACGTCAAACAGTGTTGCCAATCTTAAAACCAAATAAAATTCCTTCTGAAGCTTCTTCATATCGACCCATTGCTTGTCTTCGGTTTTACTCAAATTAGCGGAGCAAATTTATAAAACCGTATAGATTGGTTTCTAGAAAGTAAAGGCATTTTAGCCAATACTCAGTATGGCTTTAGAAAAGGTAGAAGTACACTCGATAATATTGCTATCTTCACTACAGATATTCGTATAGCTTTCTCTAATAACGATTCGGTACAGCTGTTTTTGTAGACTTGTCTTCTGCGTATGATAATGTCTTATTAGATATTCTCAAAATTAAACTATTATCTTTAGGTATACCTTCCCATTTCATAAATTTTATTCTCAACGTTTTAACAGAACGCAAAATAGAAATACGATATATTACGACAATATTATTTATTCTCGGACTGTTTCAAAAGGCCTTCCGCAGGGGTCAGTCCTTAGTCCTATTCTGTATAATGTTTATACATACGATTTAGAAGATAATATTTGCTCAAATAAATATATCAAAATACTTCAATACGCCGACGACCTTTTATTGTATTACGTTAGTCATTCCATTGAGGATTCGCTTCTTAAATTAACATCTGCGTTATCTAATTTAAAATATTGGATGGATTCTAATGGGTTACAACTGTCTGCTTCTAAAAGTGCTGTCGTAGTATATACGCGTAAAAATAAACTCCCTCCTATCTCCCTAAAGTATGATAATGCTGCTATTCCCGTTAAAGATCACGCGAAATTTTTAGGCATAGTTTTAGATTCGAAACTTTCAGGCACCCGCCATTGTGTATATGTTGCTGATAAATGTGAACGCTTATTAAATATGATAAGATGCCTTTCAGGCGTTTGGTGGGGAGCTCATCCATATTGTTTAAAGTTGGTTTACAACGCCCTTATTAGAAGTGTTTTAGATTACGGTACATTTTTGCTAGAACCAGGTAATGTTACAGCCCTTAGGAAGCTAGACAAAATTCAACATAAAGCTCTGAGGATAATATTGGGAGCCATGAAGTCGAGCCCAATAAACGCTTTACAAATAGAATGCTGTGAACCCCCCCAATTAAGACGGCAATATATTTGTGACAAATTCTTTTTTCGTACTATTCAGTGTTCAAATCATCCACTTCTTTCTAAGATTAAGGCACTTTATGAATTATTTTCTACTTCAAGCTATTGGACACATAAAACTCCACCATGTCTCATTGTTAGTTATAAGAAATTCATCTCCCTTTCTTCTCCTACTTATGTATCAAATTACCTTCCTATTTTTAATGTCGATTTTAAATCGTTAATTTTCTCCTACTATTCCTTTCACAATAAAAGAGCTTGAAGGGTTTCCGTTTCTCTTCCTTTTAAGATCGAACGTCGAACACAAAACCTCCTCAAGTTTGTAAAAAATCATCTATAGATTTAAAAATCATGAAGATAAGGCTGATAAAAATAACAATAGTAACTTCCAAATGAAACTTAAATCTAACAAATAATAAAGTTTGTTTTAAACAGATAATTACTCCTATAAATCGATAGATTCCTTATATGTAATACTATCAATATATATTTTATTTACTTTACCCATAAACAAGTCAATATTGCTACATAATACACCATAAATATACACCAAAATATTAAAATGTACTCACTGTTTGACTACATCGACTGGTATAGAGTTAAGTTTAAAAAAAATCACTGCGATAACTTGAAATTAATATATAGATATGTCGAAATAATTTTTTTTTTAACCAACTTTATAAATGGTAATCAACTACAGTTTGGACGCCAATAACAGACAAACTTATACATTGTTTTACCGATTAACGAAATATAAAGAATATTCTAATGTAAAGAAAATGGCAACGGCACACGTCCATAGTCTACTCACTTTTCTTTTTTAAACTTAACTTACAAATTTGTATTTAAGTAAAAAATTAATATCTTGTCACATCAATTGTGTCAATCCTATTAACATTATAAATGTGAAAGTTTCTTTGTTTGGATGTTTGTACGTCAATCACGCCGAAACTACTGAACGGATTTTGATGAAATTAGGTATACAGATAGGGTGTTAGCTGACTTAGATAATAGGATACTTTTTATCCCACTAAACATTTCCCTAGGGTCCACGCGGGCGAAGCCGCTGGCGAAAGCTAGTATAGTAATAATCACAATGGCATAAATTATAATGCAATGTTAAGATTTTAATTATCTCAATGGCATTTCAATAACGCCAATGTCGGCGTAGAGGACAGCATCAGCACAGTAGTAAACAATCTTTACGAAACACGCATTTTACATCCAAAATATATAGCTATAATATAACAAAATTACACTTTTTCAAAAAAGGAAATTATTCTTAATGAGAAATGCTTAAAAATCCCCACTCAGGACTGACGAATTTTTCAAGCAATTGTAACTTTTTCGCTACTACAGAGCATATTTTCATAAATGTTCGGGCAAATCCAAATTTGTTGGAACTATTTAGTTTACACATCAACCTTCGTTTATATATCTTTTGGTAGGCCACTTTGTAGTAGGGGAGCCCAAGCGGGGATTTCGGGATTTACTAAAGCGCGGCAGATTAATATGCAGGGGGATACCTTGTACCCAGTTAAGTTTAATGGACCTAGTATGAGCCCTATATAAACGGCCGCCCGGCAAGGACAAAGGAA